ATTTTAAATTGATCAAAAATGACAAAGTTTTGGCAAAAAGATTGAAAAAAAAAACAATCATTTAGTTTGCTATTTATTAATCACATTTCATGTTCGAACTGCCCGCCTTGCGTAAAGATGCAAAAAGCTTGCTCTTTTTAATAACTTTTGCTGTTGCTCAGAGCGACAGAGTCAGGGGAGATGGATTGACAAGCATTTTCCATCCTTTGCTAGAGTTCTTCAGATGAGGTTTCTAGCTAATGATTGGCGTAGACACTGTTTTTTAAATGGCCCCACAGAAAATAAACAAGTGGATTTTAATCGGGTAACCGAGGAGGCCAACAGATCGGGCCATGAAATCCTATCACCTATCCCAGAAGTGACAACTGCAAAGAATTGTGTTCGGGACATCAATCAAGCTGGAGAATCATTCTTTGTCGTTGTTACAGAGTAACATAAACTAGTGGAGTTGGTAAAACCTCCCTCAAAAAATTGAGAAACTGAGCACCATTTAAATTATTTTCGTAGAAATAAGGCCCAACTAATTTATTTCCGAGAAGTCCACACAAAACGTTGATACTTTAAACCACCTGATGATGACAAGAATACGAAATTCCCGGATTTTCCTCCGCCCATTTTCAAAAATTAAAACGGTTTAGTATGCCATTAAAGGTTAACTTGGGTTCATCAGTCCATAGGATGTATGGAAGAACGTTTTCTTCATCCTCCCAAATCGGCATTTGTGCAAGGAATGTTAGACGCCCGTCATAATCAAATTCGACAAAAATTAACTTATTCCGAATTATTAAATTTACTGATGAATGACTGAAGCTGGTAAAAGATTTAAAACAGCCACCTTGTTCAGCGTAAAATGTTCGAAAAAATGAGACCTATAAGACTTATAAGGTTGAAAAATATCGTTTCGGCCATTTTTAAGTGCAAAAACTAGGTAGCATATTGGCTTTATATACATTATTTATATGTACATACAACAACAAAAATAAGATGCTTCTAGTAAAGTAAGAAAAAGATATTTGAATTAAAAAGACAATTTGAATTAATTTTAAGAACTCTTTAATGTCCCTAAATACGAATATTTATATTGGGTTGTCCGGAAAATAATGCAGGATTTTGGTATTAAACAAAAAAAAAGAAACTAGTTACTTTAAAGCAATGTTCTTTAATCAAAATANTGACATTCATACAAATGAGTAATCCTGTAAACGTAAACAGAATATTTTATATAGATTTTTTTTAATGAAAACTTAAAATCCTGCATTATTTTCCGGACAACCCAATAGCAAGAAAAATAACATTTATTGACTTTTTTTTACTAATTTGTTTCTCGCTGACATAACACCTTTGAATTTTATCCGACTTCAACGTTATTACAACAGTTAACAAGTCTAATCTTTCCTTTGAGCCAATGTCATCAAGGTCTAGATTTTACGTCATTATAAATGAGAAAAATAGGAAAAAATCAATAAAAACTTTTCAAACGTTTTATAAGGTTCTAAATTTGTGGAGTGTTCCCAGTGGATCGATGTAGTCGTTTCAAATTATTACTATATTTGTGATTTTTGAAAAGGAGGAAGCATTTGGAACGCAAAAACTTAAAAGAAAAAATATTGTTTTCCAAAAATTTGTAACCAAGGGATTTTAGGTTGACGAAAACTTTGTTTCTTTCTCAAAATTTTTTTAACCTACTTCCCTACATCACTCGGTCACAAAATAATTATGTATTTTATACCAATAGCTCAAATTTGCTCACAATTTTAAACATCAAATCAAATCCACTGATGAACATCAGTTTTATCAACAAAATCGAATTAAAGATGAACTGCGTAATTAGTATTATTTTTAACTTTCTTATTCCTACTATGAATGTACTAACAGGTTCATCCTTTAATTTCTCTAAAACTAACGTCTTCAATCCAGAAACAAATGAAAAATATTTTGCGTAAAACTAAAAAATTCAAACTGTATTTTTGCCATTTCTGTTTGGAAAATGTTTAATATAGGTTTTTTGAACACTTGATTTTGGTTGGTCTAATTGTCTAACGGACTTAAAATGCTATTATTACGTAATCAATTGCATTGCTTATTGTTTATATAAATTTACGTACTTAAATGTGCAAAATAAAGATTGTATTATATTTGTTAAGTGTGGAAAATGTTAATTAATCCGAACATATATCATCAACTATATCAATTCGCTCAAATAAAAAATGACTATTAGAAAAACTTGTCAGCCAAATTGTGCGTTGGTTTTGGCACTAAATAATAACAGTTTTACTAATGACGGCAACAGTTACCAAATTAAAATGTACACTATGTTCTACAACAAGAATAATTTCAAAATATTTAATTTTAATGACTTTGTGTCACGTCACACAATGCTAAATGAAGGTCAATTTATTCATACTTTTTGCATTAAAATTACCCCGTACTTAATAATGTACGCTGGCACGCAAACTTTAAAACTAATTTGGGTCCTTCCGGCCCTTCTCGTCCAGGACAACTTCGCCTTACTATATCGTCTATCCACTGTACTTTTACCAAAACAGCGCGAACCGGTCCACTGTCGCTAAAACTACTACAAAAAACCTGATTAGGAAAGAAAGAAGGAGGCAGCGTCGGTGGGCCGTGTTCTGTAGAAAAGCTCTCGAGAATCAAAAGCACGGTCGATAAATGAACCTCGGAAGATCTGATTCAAAGAAGAGGACTTTTACTCCCCCTATTAAGAATAGGTCATATATATTTTTTTATTAGGGTGGTTTATTAGGTCATATTAGGGTGACACATAGTCACTTCATTGTGGCCAAAGCCTGCGTATATATACGGCATTTAGGGAAAAGTTATCCGAGGTCTCCCATTTAATTGCAGGTTATCAGTCTTTGATTCTACATAGACTGAGTAGAAATTCCACCCGATATGAGCGCAGGAGCAAATCTTGGGGACTCCTGTTCCAATTTTTGGAAGAAATAGGGCTGTTTTGTTATTATTATGTAATGCTTGGTATATATCTCGTTTTGTGTATACCGAAATGATTTATATTTATTAGAGTATATTTGTAGCGTGAAAGAGCTGATGTTGGAATGAGTACCCCCATCGCACCTCAAGTAAATTTGTACATCGTATGTGTAAAGAGTGATGGATGAATTTTGAGTACTACATCAATCAGCTTGAGTGAATGGTATATAAATAGGAAATAATGCATTTAAGAATAAATGAGAGTGTGAGTGAGCTAGATTTAAAAGTTCATGCGTTGGCGCTGAAATGATCTAGCTGTTGACTCTGAAGCCTAACTTCGACGGTTGGGCCAATAAAAAATATAAATTTTGGCTTAAGAATATATTGGTATACATACGTGTAAATAATTGCAATAAATTGTATACCTTGAACGTTTAGCTTTTTGCAATTATGTAAATTATATTTTTACTTTTTTTACGTTTAAATGATCATATAGATTAACATATATTAACAATTATATAAACCCAATTTTCTATAAATACAAAACAAAACTGTATCAAACACAGTACTATTTATTATAAAAAATTAAAAACATAAAATTTAGAAATACAATAAATAAGCATTTGGTTCTGCTCTATTCAGTATTGCTTTCTACCTTAAAAAGGGTTATGAAAGTTCCCAGAATCGTTATTGAATTATTTATAAAAAATATTTGTGATTCATTTGATAAATTTAACGATGGTTATGACTTTTTTTTATCGCGAAATGGGGTTGTTATTAAATACGTACATTTAAAAAAGATTCAATTTCATACATTGTTTGACTAAAAACTAAATTCAAAAATATCTTTCTAATCAACATTTTCAACCAATTTTCGTTTTTGCATAAAACCTGATTTTACAAACTTATTTTATTTTCATATAAGAACTATACATTTAATATTTATTCCAGTTCAAATTTCTACATTAGTCAAATGAAATTTTTTTTTATTTTTATTTATAATTCGGTGAAGGGCTGAAACCAACGAGGACACAGCACAACTTACTCAATTATTTATTACTAATTAATCATTGGATCATATAATTTTGATTAGTCATGTTGGAATTAAAAATGACTGTCACCAAAATTGGTTTTTCAGTTTCAACGTAACAGTGTGTTTTTTAAAAAATTGACCCGTTAAGTTTGTGTTTGTTTTCTAGTTACAATTTTATGAGAGTTCTCACTGCGGGGTAAACCTAAAATTTGGTCGAAACCGATCATCCTGGTCCGCTTATCTTCGCTGTGTTGATCGGACAGACACCTTTCGGCATTTCACCATCCTTAGGCTGTTTGTGTAATTTGTGTTAAGTATCTTTTTTTAAGATCGTGAGGAGTATGATGCGCCTGATTGTTTTTCGGTGCCTTCGTTGGATTGTCTGCTCTTCTGCTCTTTTCTTCGATTGGTCTGATCAGTCATTGTGATCGTCTTCTTTATTTTTAATAAGTATTGTGTTTCGAAGGGTTTAAAGGATTCATTTGTGTGTTTATGCGTTTTTACTGTTAGGTGTACATATTTCTATACCTTTTACAATTGTTGAGGATGTTCTTTTTATTCCTTTTTGAACGTTTTGTTTTATGTTTGCCTGCATTTTTGAGAGTTTATGATGAGTGGTGTAGTTTGGTTTGTCGTCATTTTCCCTAAACGATCTTATATTTCCTAATTTTTCCACATACTATGCCTAAAAAAATCCTAACTTTTTTAATACTATCCTACAGCTTTTGTGCATATTTTTGTAAAAAAATTGCCTTTAGAACTTTTTTAATGACATGAATACGTATATATAATAGCAATAAATTATAAATAAATAAGCAAAAGCGTTCTTCTTTGTATAAAGCATTGCAAATTTCTACTATGACAACTTATTTTTTGCGCTTAAGCATACTTTAAAAAAATTAAAATGCAATGTTTTTGAAAAAGAATTTTATCGTGGTGTTTTGAAATGTTAAATTTCGTAGAATGATGTAGCGTGGAAATTTTGTGCGCGTCTTTCTTAGACGTTTTAAAATACCTTCAATTGTCAACGGTAAACAGTGAACTAGTTGATGGCCGCTATTCCACTAACCAACTGTCGATTTTAGTCAAACCTTTTTCACAGTGCTGAAGGGAGCGCATGTGCGCACATCCACAGGTGGCTGATGAGTTGGGAAGTTTGTATACTGCAAGACTCAGCCCATTTTCCCATGACCCTACCTCACTGACTTTCCTTTTAAACCCACCGTCTTTAACACAGTTATGAAATATTAGACGTTGATATTATTTATGTTCAATTTAATAAAAATCTTAACAAAATAAATGCAAAACATATAATGCCGACGTTTTTTCAACAGTGGCGCTAAGATCCATGTTACCGTTTGTGTTTAAAACAAATTTATAAAAAATTCTTTATATTTACAGAATCCATACAGAACGGATCAAGTCTAACCACTTCCTCTTTCCCTTTCCACAAAAACTTTACATCCCTACAGTACATCATCAAGTACCTTCCAAAATAGAAACTCTTGGATATAACCTTATAATCTCTGAACTGCTTCTATTACTCCCTAAAAAAGCAATCCTCTTCCTAACATACCGGCACAATGCTCTCATAAGATCTACTCACTTTCATTCACAATGAAAATTGTCCATTTAATTTTTCATTTACCTCAATCTTATCGCCCGATAATCTCTTACCCATACTAGGAACAGTTCCTTCTGAAAAGAATCCTTATAATTTTTTACAATTTGAAGGATTGAAGGATTTCACCCAACAGAAGAGAAAATATTATCCCATCCAGCTTCCGTATACACCACTCCTCGATCCAGCAATGACACCGTGTCATAGATGTTGTCACTTCCTCCCCTAAGCTGAAACATTTCTACTCGGGTGCTTTTCTTGATGTGGCTTAAGGCTTTGATAGGGTCCTCATATTTCGGTCACACCTGACTGACCGTCTCTTTCAGGTCCGCCAGGGAATATATTTCTTTGACTACAATCCTGTTAAGACTGGAATCCCAGAGAGTAGTATTGTTCAACGTATACTGCTGACCTACCCATACCGACAAATTCATGCACACTTTTGCGGATTTTCTCCTATTCTCCAATTAAGGACCAGTGCTCTGACATCAGTCCCTACAAGCTCGCCTATTCAACATAGAAACTTGGCTGAAAAAGGGGCAGATAAAAATACAAAAAATGCGCAAAAGCCATCACATAACTTTTACCCTCCGACGTGGAATGATACCATCACTATACCAGTATCAAAAATCTCCCTAAAGCTAACAGGTATATTGACAAAAGATGGGCTTGTAATACATATATCAGATTAAAATAGCACGAACTGACTAGACATTACAAAACACTCCCACGACTTCTAGGCAAACCATCAAAACTGACGCTTCACAAACGAGTGATATACGCGACTTTAATTAAACTCATTTGGACATGTGCATTGAAACGAGGGGTTCGACAAAACGTTGAATTGGAATCAAAATCTCAGAAAAATAGTAAACGCTCCCTTCTTTGTATCTAATTAAACAATCGACAAGGTCCTTAAAATTCATTTCGTGAAAGATGTCATAAAATCCCAATACATAAAATTCCATAAATCCCTTTCAAATTTTAAAAACCTAGCATCCCGAATTATCCCCAATAATCCCTCGAAGGAAATTAAAGCGTTAGTGGCCACGTGACCTGCTGGACAGCGAGACATAACACCAGACACTACTAGAAGTTTGACTATTGGGTGATTCTTCGTAGCCTAGTGCAAGATTTCGTATTTTTAAATGTATACAAATCAACAATTTTACTTGTAGTAAAAAATAATACTGTTGTTAGAAAAACACCTACATTAGCATCATTCATAAAATGAATGATATGTTCATACATAAACATAATTTAGTTTGCGACTAAATTATCTACTGGAGATGTGGCTGGCCAAAATCGTTTATTTTATAATTAAAGTTACATTGCGATTTTATTTAATTTTAAAATGTGTGTGTGTGGTTTAAAATGTGTCTAAAATAAAATGTTTAAAGTGTGAAGATGAAGTGAAAGGTCTGACCAAAATTTGTTTTATACTTTAAGTTTCATTGCGATTTTTTTATTTAAATAGGCGTGCAATACCTACACTACCGGAAAGAAAGACGAGTAAAGAAGGTTTAGCATTTCGAACGCCGTACAAGTACACCTAAGTCACATGCGTTGAAATGTTGATGATGCCTTAGATATTAGACCAATACAAACGGGTGATAATCAGAAGAGATACTTACAAATCCGCTTTTTTTCAAAAACACCGGTACCCCGAGGGTGTGTATAACCTCTGCTGTTGAGAATCCTCGTAAAAAAGAAAAAAATCAGAAGAGAGCATTCTTTGACCCATTCTGTATACCATTTATATGCTGACTTTCTTATACATCCCTTTACCAACCCTAATTCAAACCAAGCAACCTACAACAACCAACGTCTTGGAACGTCAGAACATTTTGAGTTTATCAAAGACTGGTGCAAAAAATGGAAGACGAACTTTAAAAAAAATTCTGTTTTCCCCAGTACATCAAAAGTAGCAACCTACTTTGGTGTTTCGGAAGTTATAGCCTTTTTTAAGTTTCGTTGCAATTTTATTTTATTTGAAAAAGTGCGCAATAGTAGTACCTACACTACCGGCAAGAAAGGTGAGTCAAGAAGGTTTAGCATTCCGAACGCCGTCCAACAATCTCAGTCAGGTGCAGCAAATGATGATGACTAACAATTAGACCAATACAAACTGGCGAAAATCTAGAGAATTCTTGCTGACTTTCTTATAAACAGTACACACTTGCTTTTGGGAATAACCTATATCGTTGACACCATGTTAAAGTGACGAATATGGATTGTCTCCACTTTTCACATTCGTCACTTTAACATGGTGTCAACGATATAATCAAAATCCAGACAATATGACTAGGAAAATTCTGATACACCCTCAATATAAATATTTTTCAATTATTACTTTATTATTATTAGTCCTAGTAATTAGAAGATGTTGGGTAAAATAAATAAATATACACTTAAATCTTAAATACTTTTATTGAAATAAACAAAAAGAAAATAATTATTGTAACACGTATGCAATCTTGCTGACACACCATATTTTTAAAAATTTGTACTTCTATTATATTTCCTTCTCTAAAAATTAAAATCAAAATGATGGATGGTGTATAAAATCTTTTTATATTATAAAACTAATGGACGGAATGTTTGCATCACAACAGTATTAATCAATAGAAATAATTGAAATTGCTTTGAAAAAACCTTGTCTTTGGCTTAAGAAAAATAATTAGCCGTTTACTGATAAACTTTGACTACAAACATTGCATTTCTTTATTATAATTAATTTGCGTAAGAGTGAATGAGATCATTAATTATAAGGCACTTACACATAGAGCACACTGAAGCCTGATAGTGAATACAATGTTATCGACAAAGTGCTTTCAACTTCAGTGAAATTTCAATTTACTTTGGCCGATTTCCTTTTAAACGATTAAATGCGAGCTGAGGCGTGACAAAGCGGGCAAAACTGGCGAACTCCGATATCGCTATATCCAGCGCTGTGTTTACAGGATTTACAAGTCCAAGCTGAGGTCAAATTTAAAAGCGGCCGGCCAGTAACGATGCACACTGGATACCTTGTCTCGCACCCTTGGCAAACACCAGACCTAGAACAAATAAGAAATGTAAGTTTAATAAAGACATTTATAACACAAAGAAAATCAACCCACCATGAAGGTAACGGGGAACTGCAAGAAGGGCATTGCATAAATATACTTTTTGGGTCTTTTGGAGAATGTTTTGTGAATATATCCATAGCCAAATTGGCATATTGTTCACGCTTAACTTCATTAAACTAAAAACATTGCATTATTTTAATTAACCCTTAATATCATGACCAACAGTCGCATGACTAACAGTACTCATAAATAATAAATACTTTCATTTCGAAATACCTTAATGAATAATTTGATGTTTATAAAGGAAATGTTATGTTACTTACACTTTCCATGCTTTCCAACTTCATGAATGCTTTAGAAGCTGTTCCAAAGGCTTTTGAATTACAACTTGCTAAAGCGATTAAACAATATATTTCTTCAGAAGGAATAAACGCTTCGTACGATTTCAGGTGTATGCTAGTAATTGTTGCATCTATATGGTGTCCTAAAATAATATTTTTCCTCAGTATGATGTATCAGGTAGTAAAATAAGTTTGTAGCATTTTTTAATGGTAATTTCAATGAAAATTTCAGGTAGTTGAAAATAACTAAAAATATATGAGCTAAAATAAGTTCGTAGCATCTTTTAATGGTAAATTCAATGAAAATTTCAGGTAGTTGAAAATAATTAAAAATATACGAGCCTATTCCACTATTCCATTCCACTATTGTCTGTGTAATTTTTTAATTCCATCCTCCCAGAACTTCTCAGGCTTTTGAACAATGCACTTGTTGATGTGTTCCAAGTGTTACAACCTTACCAACTATTTATTCACTTCTTTGTTTAAGTCATTTTAACCTTAGGAGTTGGGAGGGGGGAATTAGGACACATCTCTAATATATTGTTGCATACTGCCAACATAGGAGACAGGACAGAAGTCATCCAGTGGGAATGGACACTTGGATAACAGTTAAGATGACGAAGGCTGAGTGAGTGACAGCAGCGGACAGGAACAGGCAAGCGGAGGCAGGCAAGTGAGAAGAGACAAAGAGAGCAAAACAAAAATATGAAACAAGCAATCCTGTCTCAGGGAACTAGAACCTACAATAGATGAAAATCAGAATTTTTTTAGAAAAATTGACCAATGATCTTTATAGAAAAGTTACTTAAGCCCTGTGAAATCAACTTGATTTTAAAAATTCCAATTAATTAAGGTTTTTAGTTGAGATAAAAAAAGTCAGAGTCACGAGCGGGATTTGAACCCACGACCTTCAGCTAGATACACGGACCACAAAAACTAGTGAATTTAATAAATTAAAATGAAGTATACATCACTAAAGCTCTCCGTGGCCATTTCATTTGTTGCCGAGAATCAAATAGATTACACGACATTTGAAAAATGGCAAAAAGGAGGGAAAAATTCAAAAGGTGGGATTGAGATGGGAAGTTAGTGCCCGAGTGAATTGAAGTCACGATAGCTCAAATAGTAGAGTAGCGGAGTATCTAGCCGAAGATTGTGGGTTCGAATCCTGCTTGTGACAGTGACTTTTTTATCCCAACTAAAAACCTTAATTAATTGAAAGATACTAATTGGTCAAGTGGACCACGAAAACTAGTGAAAATTATAATAATAATAATCCAACATCCTACAACAAGCTTTGTAAAGTGGGAGTTTTCTAGAAAAGGTGTCACATCGTGGAACAAGGTTCTTGTATGAGGAAAAGTCTATTGCGTTGTTCTGGAATGATGCCCATAACAAACGTGTTAAATTGTCATAACACCTTGTAAAAATATGAAATCTTGGGAAAATACTACAAATAAAACACCTTAACTAATCCTTTTCCAGATTATTTAAACAACGATGATTAAATAAACATTGCTTAAAAATATCAAGAGGGATAAAATTATGGAAAAACACAACGGACTTATTTTCACAAGCCAACATTTTTTTTTTAAATTTTATTTATTTTAATAATAATAGATTAAATACCTTCGTAAAGCTGCTTCTGTGCTAACATTAAGTAATGGTAGGCTTCTGCACCCTTCCATGCATCATCAATCATTTTCAAATCAATGCCACTAAGTTCATCATAATTTTCTAACAAAAGTCCACTTTTGTCTTCTAAAAATAAATTTGACTTGTATAGAAATTATTTAAAAAAAATAAATTTGACTTGTATAGAAATTATTTTAAAAAAAGGTTTAGAGTAAATAATTGGTAGGTCTACCAGAATCTTTATTTTTCAGTGCAGTATATTCTTCTACCAGCAATGCTGCAAGGACATAAAGCCTTTTAATTCTCACTGGTTTAAAACATTTCACAGATTCTTTTTCAGCAAGCTGTCATAACATATTATGTTTATCATAAATGATAGATTTAAAATTTAAAAAAAAAAATTAAATACTTGAAACATGATCTTTGCCGCATCTAGATAACGATTGGCCTTTCTGTACAGCTGTATGACTTCAAGATGACGATTGTTTTCAGTCAGAGATCTCGCATATTTATCCAATAAACTGGCAATTTGCGGAAGCATGTTGTACGTTTCTGCAAGCGCCACAGCTTGATCCCACTGGTTCAAACTAACACACGACTGTACCGCTGTCTGAATCATGCCGGCTTTAACAAATGTAGCCACGGCCTGAGAGCACATCCCTACAGAGACGAATATCTCGCCGATTTCCTTTAGAAGCGAATGTTTGTCGGGCAAAGTGGAAACTATTTTTTCAAGTGATTCATAATCCTCTAAGTGCTGGCAACACATCATTAGGCGTTCCGTGTTGCGAGCCTTTTCATAATATTCTTTTGCATTTTCCCTATAAAACAGAAATAACCGCAAAAAAAAAAAAAAGTTACAAAAATGAAATAATATTACAATTATAATTATGTATAAATTCTATAAATTACATACCAATTGCCTCTGTCTGCAAAATAATCTCCTATTGAATTCCAAGCGGTCTGTAATTGTGAATCTGTTCCTCCTGTACCTAGTTTCATAAGTTGAATTACTCTGAACCAGTCGCCAAGCCTCTCTCTGAGCGCTATAGCCAAATCCCTAAAAATAAACGCAATGAATGAAGAAACAATGTATAAAAATCAAAATCAAAACAACCTTCTGTCGATGTCAAGATATAATTTTTCCGCTTCATTAAAATCCCCGAAATATGCAGCTACCTGGGCTCTTTTAATCTGATCGTTCGTTACATTTGAAAGCCTCTTAATAAGCTGGATGCCGGGATAATCACTGCAACGGACAAAAGCAGCCTCTGCTGTTTTTAAGTCCAATTTTTTGACAGCTGCTTCTGCTAATAAACGCCTGAAATTTAATATGATTATTTATTTATTTTTAATATTGTGTTGAGGTCTGAAAGCAGTTTAACATGTTGCTGGTTTGTTATAACCTTTTTACTTGTTATTTCAGTCTCTAACCACAAGTAGTAAGCATAAGGGAAAAAAGTATATAGAAGCTTGACATGAGTTTGTAAAAATAAAAATTAAAAATGGGATTAAATCAATGGATAAATTCACTATTTTTCGTGGTCCGCTTGACCAATTAATATCATTCAATTAATTAAGGTTTTAAGTTGAGATAAAAAAGCCAGTGTCACGAGCGGGATTCAAACCCACGACCTTCGGCTTGATACGCCGGTACTCTACCATTTGAGCTATCGTGACTTTGATCCACTCGGACACCAACTTCCCATCTCAACCGCACCTTTTGAATTTTCCCTCCTTTTTGCCCCATTTTTCAAATGTCGTGTAATCTATTTGATTCTCGGCGAACAAGTGAAATGGCCACGGAGAGCTTTAGTGAAGTATACTTCATTTTAATTCATTAAATTCACTAATTTCATGGTCCGCTTGACCAATTAATATATTACAATTAATTAAGGTTTTAAGTTGAGATAAAAGCCATTTCATTTGTTCGCCAAGAATCATATAGATTACACGACATTTGAAAAATGGCAAAAAGGAGGGAAAATTCAAAAGGTGCAGTTACCCTGTGCCCAAGAGGATCGAAGTCACAATAGCTCAAGTGGTAGAGTAGCGGCGTATCAAGCTGAAGTTCGTGGGTTCGAGTCCCGCTCATGATGCTGACTTTTTATCTCAACTTAAAACCTTAATTAATGCAATGGATAAAGGTTTTTTTCTCAGATAATATGACAGTAAATAAAAATTATTAAATTGATATTTATATACATTGAAACCATATACCATAATCTTGGGTGAGGATTTTCTTCTATAAAACTAGTAGCTTCTGCAATGCCGACTTTTTCCAAAAGTTGTCTCGTATCCCTGAGCGATTTAACCTCTAGATCTATAATATGTTCCTCAGGGTTGAGAGCATCTTGATGAGCCATTATATCATCAAGCAAAATTGTCCGTATTACCAAGTCCTTGAAATAAATTACTCGTCAAATTTTAAAAAGCACACAATAATTTAGAATCGACTTTTTTTTATAAAATACAAATTTTGTGAAATACAAAACAATTAAATTTGAATAATCAATTAAGAAAAAAATAAGCAGGGTTTCCATGGATAATAAGAAGTAAATATAGATGAACAACATTCTGTTGGTTAAACAAGGGAAAATTGAATATACCTGAAAGGTGCAAACATATCCAGAGCAGTTTATCGGCTCTTCTGGTTCGTTTCCGCGGATAACGTACATTCTGGTCTTTTCCATAATAGCGATCAGATCTGGATTGTCACTTGCCCACAACATGTCCCAAACATCCCTTCTCTCAAATCTTCCCGTATCACCACCACCACCCTCTGGATCCACAAGTGTCATTATTCCTGTATTGTCAATTATTGACAAACGCCTATGAAATTGTTTGTAAATTAGTCTGTATTTTAATCAAGCCTGCAATGTATATGTATACATTTTTTTTCTTACAAAACATTTACAAAATATAGCAAAACAACAGTTTTAACAATGCTAGAAAAAATTCTCCTTATTTGGAATTTTGTTCTAAATAAAATTATATTATACTATCTTTGAAATTCTTCTCCCTATGTTACATTGTTTTAAAAATTACAACATAAATTCATATAACTAAAATAATTTAATTACTCTTTTCATACAGAAAAATTGTTTTGGATTGGATTTTAAGATTTCTCTGTGGTATTCTTGGATTTGAGTCTGATTTTTTAAAATGTGAATATCCAGTAGTTTAAATGAAAAAATAATAAAGAGAGTATGTAAAAGTTCCATAATAGAGGCCTACAAAACGTATAGAAATCATGTCTTTTTTCCAGTGAATGAAATATTAAATATTGAAAATTTTTGTTCTTTAACACTCACACCGTCATCCTGGGTCTTTCAAGACCAAGAGAATGTTGTAAGCTGGTCTCCATCTTAGAATAAGTTGTAGTTGTTAAAGTAAGAACAAAAAATAATTAGTTTAAATGCTATAAAAAGGCTGTGAATCAGAAGGGGCCCAGGTGGAACGTGATGTCCCCCACCAATATGGGAAACATAACTCTGCTGTAATTAAGCAGTTGGTCAATGGGTGTCACAGCACAGACGGGAGTGATGTGACGTTTCTCACAAACTAAGGAAACATAGCCCTGCAATAATTACACAGTTGGTCAAATAAATAAGAACATTGTAAGGTGTCACAGACCCAGATGGAGCCAAAGGACGTTTCCCATAAGCCTGGAAAACATAAATTTGTAATAGTTGGACAACTGATCGACTAAATAACTAATGTCATGTTATTTGGTGCTGAAGAGCAATCACAATGCCAAAATTATGTAGCAATGTAGAATATCGTAAATTAGGAGCATGTCAACAGGTGCGCGACATCAATCTTCACCGGTCCACCCGCGGCGTGGAAACTCCCCCAACTTTTGATTTTCCTTTACACCCTATTCCAGTAGAGAAACTGGTAAAAATAGGGAACATTTGGAAATTTGAGAAACATCAGTCAAGACCAAGGACTCACCTCAGGCTGTGAACAGTCCACGACTCTAGGAGTCAATCCAGAACAGGAGCAGCCACACTCCGCATGGGGCTCAACAAGGGGACTAAGCCAGCTAGAGCCAGTGAGGACCGGCCGTTGAGACCTATTGGATTGGTCAATGGTCAAAAGTATTTGGGGTCTCTGTTAAGAGACTCATCCCAGATTTAGAGTTGTGGCTGACTTTTTAGACTGATTAAGATTTACTTGTGTACATTTAAAAGACGGAATGTGTTAATATAAATATTGAAGAATATACCCTCTAGTTTATTAAATTGTAGAACCTTCCCCTACAAGGAATAAGTAGCAAAGCACTTACGCCGACTACTCTCTTTTATTGCATAGAGAAAAGCAAGCAAATGTAGAGATTGTCCAACCATTGTGCCATTGCAGGCTTACAATGTTCTTTCTTTTTTTTCTGTTTGTGCTGTCTATTTTTTATTTTTATTTTTTACCTACTCTCCAATATATATCCTCTATTAGGTTTGAACATATTTTTGATTTGAACAAAAATGTAATTGTTATGGCTCATTTTGTAAATAAAAAGATGCTTGGGGTTATTTAGACTTGATTGCAGTCTACTTAAAAAAAAAGTTTTTTTTTTTAAAGCAGGGTTCACCAACAGCAGTTATATATGCCCCAGGATGCCAGTGTTCTTTTTTTTGGGGGGGGGGAAACATTTCTAAGTTTAGCGGGTTCAAAGTTCAAATATAGGGCCCTTTTTGGTAGTTTTTAAGTATAATTGTTACTATAAGTCACTTTATTTACTCAGGTAGGAAAAAAGGCACCCCAATCTCTTATCCCTGGTCTCTTGTTCTGGTTTTTCTGTTTACCACAAAACTTTTCAGTTTGTATTCAGTTTCTGTCTGAAAGTGGTTAAAATGGAAGCCAACACTTGTTTTACTTGTGCTTATGATATTTGGAAAGAGTTTCGGAGGCAGGAAGCAGGAAAAAGAACCAACCCGTTTTCTTGACGATCGATTTGTCTTGGCAATGACAATAAATATTTTATCACATGTGATAAATATTCAGTGGCGACCAAAAAAACAAGAATGTATAAGTTGAGTAGGAGACTCATAACATAATAGTTAGGAAATAATAAAATAATGCTAACAGAACTTTATCATACCTATAAATGAAATTTTTTATAAAATGTACAAAATTTTTTTATTTAACTTTCCTTTAAGGAAAGCTAATTTATGTAAAATTATGTAATGTAAATAAAATTTCAGCATACACATGAAATTTTTTTGTCGCCTACGTACATACTAAATAAATAAGCCTAAGACCTGCCACAGTTGTCCATGTTTATTATTATTTAATTAATTAAATAATTAATTTTTTAAATTAATTTTAATCAACAGTGGTGCATGTTTAAAATATAGAATATTTCATTAACTTACGTCGAATTTGAGTTAATAGCTAAACGTTGGGGTTTAGAAGAAAGTCCATATCTTTGTACAAGAGCTACTTGCGGTAGCGAATATCTCTGTAAAGCACCAGATTCTCTTCCAATCACAAGAACTTTATCAGAAGCAGCCATGCAACATATCGGATCCCCGGTCGCCTTAAAAACAAAATAAATCAGGACGTTTCGTTCGGCCCATTATTGAGAAGCTAGGTGCAAAACTAAAAAAAGCTACCTGCATATTTGTGTTTGGCTAAAAGAAAACAAAACAAAAAGAACAAAAATTAGTTTCTATTTCAAACGCTTAGCCAAATAAAATGTGAACGGTTGCTTCCCTCATTCACGCAGTAAAGAAAAAAGTTAAATTGTCAGCAGCCATATGAATGAAGGGCATGCAAAAGAGCACTGAAACATGAACCTGATATGATTTATCGAGATCTTGAATGACTTCAGCGACTCCAGAAGGAGTGTCGTCGACATGGTAGAGTCTTTCCTTTCTTTGTTTGTTCCCAGCGATTCCCAAAGTAGAATGACTTTTAGGTGTCATAAAGTGCCAAATCAAAAAATGATCTTTAGAAGCGGCAAAGACATGTGTTGAATTCAGAGCAATAAAAAGTGGCTCGACGTCAGTATATTTTCCTGAAATGCACAGATGGAAGAAAGCGGCCATTTTATAGTATAAAAGGATAATTGAATGTAAAATCATACGATCAACAGGTGTTGAAATTGCATTACAAACAAGAAGTCCATATTGTCTGTTTGTCGTGTCCTTAGTAGCCAGTACGCAGTACTCTTTATACGCAGCTATTCCGTACAAAGCAGGCACTACTTTGTTGTGAATCTAAGAAAATTTTAAAATAAAAGTTTTTTCCTCCTCTCTCTCTATCAAAAAACTAAGCCAGTTAACCTCAGAGCTATTTGTATCCCAAAAAGTAACGTTTGTCCCTGTTTGTCCAGGATATGAGAAAACCAAAGTATTTGAAAAATATCCCCACTTATAATCGGGTCTTAAAATTGCAAAATAAACAAATGAATCGACGGCAAAAGCCAATCTTAATGAAGTCCCTTCCCACTGGCAGGCGGTAATTGATCTTCCTGGTATTTTCATTGTTCTTACATGCTAAAAGAAGAAAAAACAAACAAAAGTCTATAGCAAAAATAATAATAATAATATTATGACTTACTTCTCCATATAGAGAAATAAACTGAACTACATTTGACTCTTTATTGTCTTCAGGTAGTATTGCAGAACCGACAACTGCAAGAAGTGTACCGTTATGGTTCCAACTGCAATGTACTGCGTTGACTCTTGAATCAACAATAACTGGATCTGACAAGATAAAAGTTTACAAAAAAAATTCTAATGTTAAAAAAACAGAAATTTTTTACTTTCATCGTTCTGGTGGCGCATAATTTGTATGTGGCCTGTCTGATAAACTATGGCAAAACAAGGGCAGTCTTTTTCAACGAAACCATTCCGTCCATCGTACCAAGTCATGCCTACGATCGGCACTCCATTCATGACTAGCGTCGAAGGGAAACACTGAATGTGCACTTTCATCTGAAAATAATGTGAAAGATTCAGATGCATTTAATAAAATTTTATAAGAAATATTTCTTACCGTGAAGTTCCCCTGGTTATCATAAACATGGACTTCGCCAGATTTTAAGCAGAAAACCAAGAGTTTTCCATCTGGCGACCATTGTACACCAGATAAGGGAACTCCTTTAAGTTCAATACCAAATATTCTGTTACCATCCACGGATCCAACAATTACAGCTCCTACAGCGATTGTTTTTTTACAAAATTTATTGTCAAAATTATTTTTAAAAAATTTATTCTAACCATCTTCATAAACAATGCATATTTTTTGCCCTTCTGAGTCCCAAGCCATGCCTCTGACAACTGACTGGTTCCTATTGTTTATCATTTCTTCATGCCAAATACCCTAAAAGCGCAATAAAATTTTGTTTAAAAATAAAATTACATGCGTAAATCAACGATAGGTTTCACACTAACTTTGTACAATGTCCAAACTATTATCAGACCATTTTGATCACTGGTTGTCAGTTTTTCGTGTTTCTCATTCCAAGTTATTACTTGCACTCTACCCTTGTGACCTCCAAGAGTTTGATTCATGGCTAGTACTGCAGGATTGGCAACCCCTTTTGAACTTGCTGTCATAAAATACAAGAAAAATTCACAAAACTTGGAAAAAAAATCAATTTTATTACAAAGTACCCACAATCCAAGAAAAAAAAAATGAGGTTTGTAGAGCTGGGTTTCCATTGCGTGAAAAAATCACTCGCTGAACTAAATATGAAACATCGTCTCGGGTTAAATATTTCCATGAGGTGAAACATTTCGCAACATAGAGGCAAAACAAGGTGCCAATTATACTTTTATTGTACTTTTTGTTTTTGTCCCATTTTGATGCTCATTTCCTTCCACGCATCCTCTCTCTTGTTTTTGTTATGATGAATTGTATCTTTAGCATCCCACAAAAATCGGTGATACATTCGAATAAGTCGAATGCAGTCCTCCTGGTTCATTCTCATACTCGAGATAAGTGCGTTTACACGGAGAGAAACAAACAACACGAAATAATTTGATGTGCACCAAAATGCAGCTGGTTGGCTCACCCTGAAACATCATCGTGCCAAAAGTTTCGCAGTCCTAGCTAGGTATCGACAACGCAAGACAAGTTTGATGAAACAGTTGCGCAAGTGATTTTTGTGCACTGGAAACCCACCTTAGGAACTGTCTTCTCAGCATAACTTTTAGTTTAATATAATTTACAAGAAACTACAGCCAAGATTTATTTTTGAAGATTGGAATCATGTAAGAAGAGAAGTAATTCCTGTCGTATGGGAGGACTTAACGTTTAACTACCCATATGGAATTGAGTACGAGGGATCGAACCACTTTAAAATATTCTTTCATAATCTAGTTTTTGGTTGAGATAGAAAAGTCAGTGTCACAAGCGGAATTCGAACCCACGGCCTTGGGTTCGAATTCCGCTTGTGACACTGACTTTTCTATCTCAACCAAAACCTTAATTTAAAATAATTTATCTGGTCAAGCAGACCATGAAACCTAATAAAATTCTTTCATAATATTCTCAATTAAAAAACTTTGGGGGAACAACCAAAATTCAAACCTAGGACCACTAGCGTGGCAAATATTGTCAGACGACCTAACCACTTAGCCACCATGGTCCCTTGGAATCAAGTGAAACATTGAAGCTTGTAACACTAACAAATTTTGTGATATTACAAAAGCCTATTCTCTTGATGGTTGTACTTTAAAAACTGTTCAATTATTTATTGAAAATTTCTATAATTAGGCATATATGAAAACGTTTTTAAAATGTTGACTTCAGAAATAAATTAAGTATTTGTTGTCCAACATCCTGAGGATAAAATAGACGTTTTACTCTGTCCCTGGCTAATGCGCTAGGAAGAAAGGGGATTTCAAAATCCCTATACAAATGGGCGGAGGAAAGCCTAAGAAAGGGGGTAATTTATCCCACTTGGACGGTAGTATGATCTACCAAATGTCCTCAAGGTGGATTTCCGTCCGTAAGCACAATAATGGAGATTTAAAAATAGACCAATATTCTCTAATCAATGTGTTCGCTCTAAACAAGTGGTTCCCAATTTTTTTTGACCTATGGACTCATTTTTATAGTCAAAACTTGCCCACAGACCCCCAAGTGAAAAAGCTACATAAATGCATAGTATAAAAATTACAAATTGTAAAAAAAATTGTTGAAGAAGTATTTATTGAAATTATAACTTTTGTTTAAAATAAAAAAAAAATTAAAAAAAAATGACGCGATGAGATGTTATGAGTGTATTTATGTCCGGTTCAATGTTTGTGAGTAGCAACTGCAAATCTCCATGAGCACTAATTTCTAGTCTTAACCAATAGTGTATGGCTTTCCGGACTTGCAATTAATAAAAAATGTTATAAGAAGCATGCAGTCCATCATTATCTAGATGTGGTCCCTATGAGTTGTTGCAATGACGGTGTTTTCAAATATTTTTCTTTGACTGTTTGAAAAAACGTTAAATTTTTTTTATTAGTTAAATTTATTTATTAAAACTGGTCTTACTAGACCAACCATTAATTTTACAATAATATTATAGAATAAATAAATGTTTACACTCTTATAAACCCATTGGTACAATAAGATTTACATTTCACTATTCACTATTCATTTTTAAGTACACAAGTTCATATAGCTTTGTTCATTTTAATTTTCTGACCACATTCTCATGCTGGCTGAAGCGAGCCTGGTGTTTGGCGGCAAATCTTTGTATTTCCGCCGTGACTTCAGGGATCTTAAGATCCATATGTAAGTCCTTATTCCTTATGTCCCAAAGTGCATTGACCATGTTACGTAAGATTTTATTTTGGAGTGTTTGTATGATTTTGATATTGCTGTGTTTGTTACAACCCCATAGTAGAATACCATATGTCCACATAGGCTTTATGACTTGTTTATATAATAATATTTTATGTTGTATAGCAAGGTTGGAGCCATGTCCTATCAACCACTATAATTGTCTATACCTTGAACCTATTTCTGTACTTTTTTTCTTCACGTGTTCTTTCCATCTCAGCTTGGCATCTAAGGGTCATTCCCAGATATTTAGCTGTATCGCTGAATAGTATAGTATTTAATCGATTGTGAGCGACGGAACATGGTCCATCATTTTGGTTGTAAAGATTAGATGAACTGATTTATGCTGATTTAGCTTGATTTACCATTTTTTGTCCATTCGTTTATCTTATTACATGCATTTTGGAGGATTTTGGTTGAATGGGTGATAGTCGGTCCTAGTGATATCACCACTGTGTCATCTGCAAACGTTGCAATTTTTACTCCATCTATTTTCATAAAATCTCTGGTGGATAACAAGTAAAGCAGTGGACCTAATATGCTACCTTGTGGCACTCCTGCATTTATTGTTTTTAATTTTGAATATTGATCTTCTTGTTTGACTCTAAACTGTCTGTCAGTTAGGTAGGAACTGATAATATTGGCATAATGCTTTGGTAGGATACCTCTTAGTTTATTGATGAGTCCTTTCTGCCAGACATTGTCAAAAGCTTGTGAGACATCAAGGAAGATTGCAGAACAAATTTGTTTTTCTTCAAGAGATTTTTCTATTATGTCCGTTACTCAGTGAATTTGGTCTATTGTTGAATGTCTTGTTCGGAATCCAAATTGGTGGCCATGGATGATTTTCTTTTTTTCTACAATGGGTTTTATTCATTTTAATAATAACTTTTCAAAGAGTTTAGACACTATCGGTAGTAGCGATATTGGTCTATATGATTTGACCTCATTCGCCGGTTTTCCTGTTTTTTTAATCATGACTTCTGCAAATTTCCAGATGCTGGGAACATATTTCAGTCTGATTGCAGCATTAAATAGGTATGTTAGTTTAACTATACCCTTTTTTAGCAATTGTTTAGTATTTCTCCAGTGATAAGGACATATCCTGGTGTCTGTTTAGCAGGTAAATTTTTAATTTCTAGTGCTACTTCTTTAGGTGAAACTAGATTAAATCCTTATCTTTTTTGTCACTACATATTTTATTGCTTGGAAGGATTCATTGAATCACTTGACATAGTTTTATTACATATCGGGTTGTCCGGAAAATAATGCAGGATTTTAAGTTTTCATTAAAAAAAATCTATATAAAATATTCTGTTTACGTTTACAGGATTACTCATTTGTATGAATGTCAACACTTATTAATCCTCTTCCAAATGATATTGTTTGTTTACCTCTGTAGCATTCCGCTACTTGGAAATAATTCAGTCATCCTTATAATGTCAAAGCGAGAATTTCGTACGATTTTCTTTTACGAGTTTAAACTCGGCCGAAGCGGAGCCCAAACGGCTAGAAACATTAACCAAGTCTGGGGCGAGGGTTGTGTTAATGAGTGCACTGTGCAAAGGTGGTTTAAAAAATTTCGGGAGGGAGATTTCAGCCTTGAAGATGAAGAAGGTCGTGGAAGGCCTTCCTCTCTTAATGATGATGTTCTGCGATCAATGGTGGAAGAAAACCCCAAAACAACTGTTCGAGAACTTGCAGAGCAACTCAAAGTCAGTAAAACGACCGTCGCTGACCACCTCAAGGCGATTGGAAAAGTGAAAAAACTTGAAAATTGGGTTCCACACTCATTAAACGATCGCCAAAAAAATCAGCGCTTTGATGTTTGTGCATCACTTCTTTGTCGAAACAAAAATGACCCATTTCTGGCCAGAATTGTTACATGTGACGAAAAGTGGATTCTCTACGATAACACTAGACATTCTGGACAGTGGCTCGACAAAGGAGAAGCTCCAATACATTTTCCAAAGCCCCCAACTCATCAAAAAAAGGTAATGGTTACGGTATGGTGGGCTTCATTTGGTTTAATACACTACAGCTTCTTAAATCCTGGCGAAACCATCAATGCTGAATCATACTGTAACCAAATTAATACCATGCATCAGAAATTGGCAGTAATGAAGCCCTCTTTGGTCAATCGGAAAGGGCCCATTTTGTTGCATGACAACGCTCGACCACATGTGTCACGTGTAACGTCACAAAAATTATTGGAGCTTGGCTATGAAACTTTGCCTCACCCACCCTACTCTCCGGACCTCTCGCCTACTGACTACCATTTTTTTAGACACCTGGACCACTACTTACAACACATAATATTCAAAAATCAAACGGAACTGGAAAATGCATTTATTGACTTTATCAATTCTAAAAATTCTGAATTCTACTCAGACGGAATTAATAAGTTACCAACACGTTGGGAGAAATGTATTTTTGATTAAAGAACATTGCTTTAAAGTAACTAGTTTCTTTTTTTTTGTTTAATACCAAAATCCTGCATTATTTTCCGGACAACCCAATAGAAGACACATAGGTAAAGTACTATTTCCTCGTAATGAAATAAAGCCATATTTCCAATATTCAACACTGTATTGTCAGCATTTTTTCTTCAGCTCACTCATAAGAAAATCTGTATATCAAATGTTTTATTTGCAACAAACCACTGTTACTGTAACAAACAACCCTGTTACTGTGTAACGCAGAAAACAAACACTTTCTAGCATTGTGTACATTCATTTTTTCACATCCTACATGTAGTTGTAAAATTTAAACAATGTTTATAAATCCCAGGACCTGAAGATGATCTCAATGAAGATCGAAACGATGGCACAATAAAGAAAATGTTTTTCTAAAACATACGTCACACCAGACGCATCTCACGATCTCCAAATTATCATTTTTCTTATTCGTTACAAGTTACGACAGTTACTTAGTCTCTACTAAGTTCCTGCCTACCTTATCAGTTCTCTTACTCGTTACCGAGTATTACAATACTGCTAATTTTCATAATAAAAATGGATCACAATTTTATTATTTTATATTAAACCTTACGCGCAGCCCCTTCCATTGTTCAGGGACCCCCAAATCAATTTTAATTTTCCACCCCCTGAATGATACCGGGGGGGGCCCTGAGGGTCCATAGGGACCTCTTTGGGAACCACTGCAGTCTAAACAATATTTACGTTGTAAACAGTGTTAATGTAATTTTTCCTATAATTTCACAGTGCCGGAGATTTTGTATGCTTTAACCAGTTGTAAGTTCTATCGTAAACAATATCCCCTGTATTTGTTTATGTTTACAAATATGATTCCTAGATCTTATTTATTATCCATTTCATAACTAAAAAAGACAACGTAGAAATAAAATAATCAAGTTCAGAGAAAACACTAAGTTAATCAATAAGTGTTGCATGCAGCAGAATTGATAACTGGGGTCGTTTCGATGTAGGATCAAATGACTGACCTGCGTCTAGTTTGAGCACTTTGAGAAGACCCTCGTCTCCTCCGACTGCGATCCATCCTTGGGCGCTGCTCCATGCCAGGCAATAGATCTTGATGCTGTTTGAGACGGCGATCTGCAAATATCATCTGTGAGTCTATCTGCAGAAAGTTAGCCGGTGCGCGGCACTTACCTTCTTACTCAAATAGATATACATGACTTGTCGACTGTGACACGCTGGATAACAAATCAACAGCCGGCCTGTCCATTGGACATTTTAGCGATTGTTTTACTTATTTTTTATTTTTTTTTAAATGTCTGTTGTTGATAAAATGATGACTATAGATAAATCCATTGGATGAAACCTCCAGCGGTCAGTTTGTTTGGCTTTTGTCCGGTTGCTAAGACAGAAAGCCCGCCACAAACTAAGGGCAAATGTTATGCTATTCAGCCGAAAAATTGAACTAAAGTCTCGCTTTCTCTACTTACTACTTACTGATGATAAGATTTTAAATAAAATATCTGTGATATGCTGTAAGTTGGATTTTATATATAATATATATTTACGTGTATGCATGTTTCATTTTAATTCGAAATTCACTAAAAAGAGTTGTAAATTTACTTGCAGATTTATGACGATGTATAAATTCACAGGTTAACTCAGTTATATATTTATGTATTTTTTATTTCTTTATAAATGTAAAACTACAACACGAATATAAATTATATGTTCATCAACCACTTGTTGAAACGGATATATTTCTATTATCTGTCATTTACAATGATACATAAGTTATGGAGTAATAAAACTTTCACATAGCTACTTTCTTTCTAAATAGTTACTTTTGTTGCTCAGACAGTGAGTTCTTAGGCAGTCATCAAAAGTTTGGGTGTTTAATAGTTCTTTTAACATTACCAATCATCGTAGTCTGCCTATCCTTGCTCTGTTGGGTCTGTCAGATAAATATTGTTTTCAATAACTAATTTCTTTTTATTTAAAAAGAACCTATTTTTAACAAACTGTTTAGTTGCCTTTTGTTGTTCAGACAGTGAGTTCTTAGGCATTTAACAAAAGTTTCCTTGTTTAATCGTTCTTTGGCCAATACCGAACATCCTAGTCTACCTACTGTTGCTCTATTGGTCTGCCAAATGTATATCCTTAAAATAACTAATCTCTTGTTGAATAGTCGCCTTTTGTGTCTCAGACATTGAGTTCTTAGGCAGTCATCAAAAGTTTGGTTTCTTTAATAGTTTTTTTGGTCATTACCGATCATCCTGGTCTACCTAGCCTTGCTCTATTGGTCTGACAAATGCATATCCTTAAAATAACTAATCTCTTTTTGAATAGTCGCCTTTTGTGTCTCAGACATTGAGTCCTTAGGCAGTCATCAAAAGTTTGGTTGTTTAATAGTTTTTTGGTCATTACCGATCATCCTGATCTACCTAGCCTTGCTCTATTTGTCTGACAGATGCATATCCTTAAAATAACTAATCTCTTGTTGAATAGTCGCCTTTTGTGTCTCAGACATTGAGTTCTTAGGCAGTCATCAAAAGTTTGGTTGTTTAATAGTTTTTTGGTCATTACCAATCATCCTGGTCTACCTATCCTTACTCTGTTGGGTCTGTCAGATAAATATTTTTTTCAATAACTAATTTCTTTTTATTTAAAAAGAACTTACTTTTAACAAACTGTTTAGTTGCCTTTTGTTGTTCAGATGTTAAGTTCTTAGGCAGTTATCAACAGTTTCGTTGTTTAATAATTCTTTGGTCATTACCAATCATCCTGGTCTACCTATCCTTGCTTTGTTGCCTGCCAGACACATATCTTTAAAATAACTTATTTATTTTTGTAGCTTGAAGTGGCTATAGCTATGTGGTATATGCCGTTTGCCCCTGAACATTTGCCAAGTCTCGGCATTCACCAAATGCCTGTGTACATACATGCAGGGTTTGTCCGGCCACCCAGTTTGTGTGAAAACTAATTCAACTAACTTCTTTTTGAATAGTTGCCTTTCGTTTCTTAGAAAGTGTATTAGATATTTATCAAAAATTTGGTTGTTTAATACTTCTTTGGTCATTACCGATTATCCTGGTCTGCCTACCGCTGCATTATCTGACAGATGTATATCCTTCAAAAAAATTAATTTCTTTTGATTTACCTTTTCTTTCTCTGACAGTGTATTAGACATTTATCAAAAATTTGGTTGTTTAATCGTAACATTGAATGCACTGGCAAATTATTTTTATCGCTATTTATTTGAGGTGGAAATGCTAAGATTGTTTTAAATTTTAATGTTCCCTCACATTTCTGGTCTGCTTATTTATGCATCCAACTCAGAATAGGTCATTCACAGTTTACTATGTATGAATTGAAATTTAGAATTAAACTTCTTATGGTTTTCAATTGTGTTGTTGGCAGTCTGGGGTCAGATGTCAGCCTTGTCCATCCGACTCACAGAAGTTAGGTTCAGGTAGTGCTCTCACTCATTCCTACATTCTTTCCTATTCATAAACAACTTGATAATTCTATACGGCTAATGTAATTGAGGATCAATGGGTCGACTTCACATTTTATCGACCATTTCGCATTACACATTCACACTAATAAATTCAATATATTTCACGACCCATTTAACATAAAAAATATTGTCATTTCCAATCCTTTGATTTGCCTATCTTAGCTGGTTTGGTATATGAGATGCATTTAGGCTTTTCTCACTTCACCCTAGAGACACAAATAAGAAATCTAACAATATTTTAAAAAACAATAACTTCATCAAATTGTGAGATTTATCTGTAGATTCTGTAGGGAGATGAGCCTATAACACTGTAATTACTGATCATTTTGGGAACCGCGGAGGCCAGGCACCATTGGTAGGGTGTTCAACTCATATTTGCCAAGCTAGCCATCCTGGGTTCAAATCCCAGTGTATCGATGGTTTTGTAATGGACAATAATATGAGAAATGTATTGTAAAATAGTTTCACTCCTTGTCCGCAACACCCAATGGTTAGTTGGACGTTAAGCCCTCCTGTAAGGCAGGAATTATTTTACTTTACTTTTTTCTGATCATTTTGGTCAACCTATCTTTAGTCTTGAGGATTCTCCTTCATGAAGATAGCAAAATTCCAATATAAATCTGACTGCCCAAAACAATTGGTAAAAATCAAATTATATCATTTGTCTAAAAAATTGGATCAGGGGACCAAAATACATACTGCCATGCATGATTGTGAACAATTGATCAAATTATTTAACAAAACCAAGATTTTTTTTTCCAGTTTGAAGCTGCCAGATCAATCATTGCCTGCCTATATACATATTTCATTCAGTTATTAATATTTTTTTAAATTAAATTAGTAAGATAAGATTGCAATATGGCAAGAGGAGCATTTATAGTAATAGAAGGATGCGACAGGAGCGGAAAATCAACTCAATGTAAATTATTAGTACAAGGATTAAATAATTCTGGGATCAAAGCGAAAAACATTAGTTTTCCAGGTATATATAGATTTTCTTTGGCTCTTTCTGTTGCAAAATACGTTATTTTTGTACAGATCGATCGACTGAAATTGGAAAAGTGATTGATTCGTATTTGACGAAAAAAATTGAGTTGCCAGATCAGGCCATTCATTTACTGTTTTCAGCCAATAGATGGGAATTGAAGTAAGGCATTTTGATAAGTATTAATTTTAATAGATGTGGTTTTTATTTATTTCTATCAAACCTTGATTCATGCCCAAGAAAATAAAGAATTTCACAGAAAATAAATTCTATTATTTTTGTAATGGTATCCGACTTCAGTGGTTAAATTTTAATAACTTGCAATTTTTATTTTTGTAGTGATATGATGAAGCAACAATTAGAAGATGGAACGACTCTTGTTGTTGATAGATACAGTTATTCAGGCGTTGCTTACTCCGCATCAAAATCGACTGTAAATTTATTTTATTTTTATTGACTTTTTATTTGTTAAATAAAATATGTTCCTTTTCTTTTAGCATAATATGGACATTGAATGGTTCAAAGCACCTGAAATGGGTTTATTGAAGCCAGATGCTGTTTTCTTCTTACACCTTGATAACGATGTGGCTAAACAAAGAAATGGATTTGGAAAAGAAAGATATGAAAACAAAGATATTCAAAACAGAGTTGCCAAATTTTTTAAATCCTTTGAAAAATTTGATGAATGGCAGGTACTACAATGCTAAATGTAATAATATTTAGGGTTCTTCTCATGGCACCATTAGTGATTCAGTCAGCTCTTGTTAATTCGAAACTTGATCATTTGAATTTCTTGATAATATTAACTCCTCAGGTCACTTTGGTAAATCGAAAATAAAAATTATGCTTAATTCACTCGGTAATACGAAATATTTTTGGTACCAGAGATAGAAAGAGCATTCTTCAGCTCTTAATAAATTGATTTTTTGTACTGTCGATAATTCAAATTATTCTTGTGGCCACTTGGGTTCGAATTATCAAGAGTGTCGACTGTATTTTACTGTTGGTTGATGTGTTGTAGGTGAGGGTTACAGGTTAATTTTTTGTCAAAAATCATTCTTGGTTATTTAAACTTATGAACTACAGTTTAACTTTAATGTTGAGGCAAATTTTCCCCTGAATTCGAATGACACTGGGGGGTTAGTATTAAAACCTCCCAAGAGCCACTAAAAATCTCTTCTTTGATCCTCACTGAAGAAGTGTGTGAAGCTGAAGCCCTTATGAGCAAAACATAAACCAGCGAGAATAGACAGACCCAGTAGTGTTCAGTATCGATCAGTTCAAAATAAGGAAAACCTTCATTACCAACAGAAGGGTCCGTAGATAATCAAAAAGCTGGAATTATAATTGTTTATTGATCCAAATGTGAAGGTTAAGTTGGAAAACATGTGTAAAAAGTCTAAATAAGTACTATATAATTTATAGTACATCAATCAACATTGCTACTCTTCCTTATTTTTAAATGTTTCTTATTGGGATTAATAATAAAAATCATGAACTGCTTCAACTTTTTATTTGTTTATTAATTAATAGCAATGCATTTCTGGCTCCTCTCTTCAAGGGTCCTAGAAGTTGATAACATACTCGAAAATGGCGAAATGCTGAAACGCCTTAACAGACCAACCTGGCGAGGATAGGCAGACAAAGATGTTCAGTTACGATCAAATTAGAGGTTCTTCATTCCATACAGCACAGGAGGAATTCTTCGTATTTCAGTTTCTGTGTTTTGCAAAACCACTTCCAGCCATTATATTATGCCATCCTGTCAACATCCATAAAATCCAGGAGAGCTTTGACAATGTCGAGAAAAGAATCATCTTCATCAACTTCAAGCACTATTGGCCAAGAATTCAGAACTCCCTCAACACATTTTTGTATAAACTATTCATATACGGTTTATGTAGTTATCATTGCTTTCCTTGAATGACAAAAAAAATACCTAAGTGCACCCTGGATACTGGGGACTCTCCTGCATATTACTTATTAATATAATTATCTGTGTACAATAAATTGTTATTATCATATTGATAATACAGAATCATTTTTCAGGTAATTGATGCCAATAAAACGGTTGATCAATTAAGAGATCAGTTGATGACTTTGGCTAAAAACTTAATCGAAGAGAAAAAGTCAAAATCTCTAAATGTGTTATGGTAAGGATTCAGATAGGAATTAAGTTATAATAATAATTTATTTGAATCACTATTGCACTATTGTTATACATTACAATCAATGTGATAAATAATAAAAATTATAAATTAAATCTTTATATAAAATTGTAACGTAAGCAATATTTGCTTCTTTTTTTAAATTTATTGGTTCGTTTACAATTTTCAAAAACCTTTTTTTTTTCCTACTTATTACTTTACTGCTTCTTTTTCTTCCTTTCAACCGGTCCTTTCCTATAGAAGATGAACTGGCCGACAATGATCCCATTCCCAATGGTGGCCAGAAGATATGTCACGATGATTATCATATCCCCGGTCTCTTGTATTGACGTGAATATCCTTGCCACATTGCCAAAAAGTAGCATGACGCAAGTAGCAGCTGATAATTGCCCTGTACCGCCGTTCTTGTAGTTCGTATATGCTTGAGTGAGCTAAAAGTAACAAGGAATTTATTTATTTTTATCGTTTGGTTGTGTTTTAAGTTCAATTTTTTAAATTCACTGACAAGAAAATGTTTAAGGCGAACAATTTAATAATTATAAGAATTGATTTCATTATTACTTATTTATAATTTTTATTCACAAACAGATTAGCAAGTTATTTATTCTACATGGACCGATAATAATAGTTAAAATCTTAGCATTTACATTTGCAAATTAAACTTAGTAATTTAATTCAGTAAAACCGATTTTTATATTAAATCAATTCCTATTTTCAATACGAAGTAGATAAAAGGAGAGATAAACAACCAGTCGTGATTCTTAAAAGTAGGACAAATCTAGATACAGAATGGCCGTGTAGTTTTAGGAATTAGAAAGGTATTGTTATGCAACAAGATATAAATCAAGTCTAACATGGTCACAATTTGTTCAAACCTTTGTTGTTAATTTCTAGTGATTCTAAATTTAATTTAATTAATTATCATGCTACTAATTATGTCTATCTTAAATGAATCTTACCTTTCCAAAAAACATAATGGGCACACTAACTGCTTGCAAATTCCATAGAAAGGATACAGGCGTTAGGCCACTTGTGAGTACATATATAACTACGGCATACAGCGCAGTGAATACCGCCGCTAAATTGCTCGATACATTGAAATGCAACACTAGTACAGCTATCGTTACAGTTTGCAGTCCTAAAAATAGCCCTTCGCCATATGCACTGGAAAAACGGAAAGTATGACAAATGGATAATTGTATTGCATAATAACAGCCGATTTTATACCTAAAAGGAAATTTCTGCACAAAGGCATAACTGCTTCCAGAAGTTATCGCATAAAGATCGGTGAGGACGTTGGTAAAACTCACCCCTTCAGCGCTTTGGTTGGCCCATATTTTTACTATTTGAGGAACTTTAACTGAAAAAACACAAACAAATTTATATCGAAATTGATACTAAATGTAACTGTTGTTTTGCTGTTTCCCTAACTACTCATCTTCAATAGTAGGGTGTGTTTAGATTATATGGGGTAAAAAAATTGAAAACAAGATGGCTAGAAGTTGAAAACAGACAGGATAAGCAGATAGAATTGACCGAACTACAAATTTGTCATCCTAAGAGGAAATCTCACAATGTAACATAATGTGATATGTAGTTTTGTGCCTTCTGGTGTTTACAACTGAAAATGTCAACATACCAAAACATTTGACAAACTACACCAGCAAGGATGGTCAGATCACAATGATCAGACACGACGAAAATACAGGCTAATGTAATGTTTAGTTCTCTTTAAAGGAATTTTGACATAAGCAGATAAGTACAAGAGGTTCATTCGTTTTTATTTCTTAGATGTTATCGTGAGAAATTCTTTCAATCATTTTGGACTCTGGTACACCATTTTAGTCTGAAAAATCTAGACCAACTTCGTGGCAGGTAAATCAAAATGTCCTAAAATGACTAAACTATCATATCATCTTGTATCACTTGGTTTATCATCTTATAGATCAAAAGAGGAAATCTCACAACTTAATGTAATATGATGATTTCTCCCAAGGGGACGACCAGGCATGGAGTAGACCAAACTTTTTTTGGTACATTCTACACTATAAATATAAATTTTTATTTGGATTTAAATTTAATGATTTTTTTACCCTTAAAATTTTTCTGACTGTTGAGAAGTTGTTATTGGAATATCTGATGGCTAAAATGATTTTAACATCAAATATTCCATTTGAAAGAAGAGGAACGTAGCTTTTTAACAATGTAAGTACCATTAAAATATATATAATATTTCTATAAGAAAATACACAAAATGGCACAATTATTTGTCAGAAATTAATCACTTTTTTAAAGGAAATAATAGTCCAATTTTAATTTTTGGCAAATTGCAAGCATTTTTTAACTACCTACTCTAGCAGCCCATCGGCAATCCAGCTTCTTGTAAAATTTACAATAAATCACCATTTTTTTCTCTTCCTAAAGGAGTTTTTTTAATATATATACAATTTTTAAAAAAATAAATAAAATCGCCAGCAGGCCTTGAAAATCACCGACCTCGGATGTTAGTAGTATGGGGGTAGACTTAAGTTACTCACTCTTAAATTCCTCTTTAAATACCATTCACTCAGTTGATGTGGTGGAGTACTTGATTTTCCTATATCACCCTCTACACATTTTATAAAACTAATCTAATAGAGAGTTGATGGGATAGTTAAGATTCCGCCACACATTCACGACAATAAATATAATCAGTCTCAACATACACAAAGAAACACAAGATTAGATATGTATAAACAGTCCTATTTTCATTATAAGAAGACAAGAATAATTCTCATGTCAGGAGGCATTCCTACATGCTCTCTAAACAGAGCCAAGGAATGACACCTTTCTTTCGAGCAACCTTTATCTACATGCAGGACGTGGCCCCAAAATTAACTGTCTGTGTGTCAACCTTGCATGGCCTATTCTTAATCGGGTGAGGTTGACTCCCCCTTCTAAAAGTCAGGTCCTCTGAGGGCCACCTATAAACAGTGCTTTTGATACATAAGAGCTTCTCGGGTTGCAGAGGTTCAGAATCATTTATTGTAGCAAAATTTTTGCATCATTTACACATGCTGTGTTATATTGTGTAGCCTTTTTTTTTCACTGTCAATGAATTTTATACGAGTGTATTTTTTATTTCCATTGAAAAAATGTTTAATAGCAAAATTTTCAGTTTTTTTTTTTTTTTTCGTTATGAACTATGCATATTAGCCATGTGACAATTCATATATGTGTGTTCAAATTTGGGGGGGTTATTGTGAAAAAAGGGCCAGAGGCGACGGTGGGAATCGAACCCACGACCGCGGCGTGAGAGTCTCTCATGCTAACCACTCGGCTACCGCAGTCCCCTTTTTTTGCATCTTTGTCGCAGACACTCCACGAACTGTTGCACAATTAAAAATTGCATTTACACACAAAGCATGAGGAAATTATATTGTTTAGCTAGCCCATTGTTAAGTAAATAATAATTAATATCTTACCCATCAGAGATCCTCCTATAATAGCCAAGCCTAGGCATTTGCTTATTAACGCTTTCAGGCAAAATACTAAAAAATATAATTTTTTACAGTAATTTATTTAATAAATATTTTGATTTAAAAATATCGTTTATAACGAATAATAAATACCGTTGAAAAAGTTGTAATTGTAGAAAAACTCGTTGTAGCATTTTTCTGGCATAAAATTGAGCAAAAGACTTTTAGCAAGTGAAGTCTCGCCCATTGCGGACGACGTGCCAGCGCTCATGAGTCTAAAGTGAATAGGTCTGCTTAGCGCTTCGTTGCTACCAAGGCTCTGTCAATTTTGGTTCCGTGTAACCTTGAAAGGTTCAGCCCATTAGATTCCAACTCCAAGACCAACTCTTACAAATCAATTTTTCATATACTACAATGGCGAAGGTTACACGTATATGAAAGGTTATTTATTTTCCAGCTACAAGGCCAGCTGGATGGTAGAATGGAAAATCCTATGATTCATTAGATCATAATTTTAAACAGGGGCTTACCAGAATGATGATTGTCTTGTTGGACTTATTGTAGTTGTTTTATATATATATTTTTTTTTTGTTAACTGTTGGTTCGTCCAAAAGATGGAGTGTAATGACACCCTATAAATCACATTAAAAGTCTTTTTAAAAAATTGTTTCTGCACGTTGGAAATCTGCAGAATAAATGAAATGCAGAAGCAAAACACTATCCATGAAAAATCCATAGTAGATTTCTTAAATTTGCAAACCTTACTCAGAATCAGGCTTTAGGTCTGGTCATACGTTTGACAGCATTGCTGAGAGTAACGGAAGATACCTGCTCTGATGTTAAAAAAAGATTATGTACTGTTTTAGTATTGCTTCATTTTTTAAATGCTTTTGGCATCAAAGATTCTTCTACAAAGAATATAAATCATGAGGTTATAAGCAAAAGGCATCATAGTTATTTGATAGTCAAGCTTTGCCAAAAATTTAATTTCAGCTTTTCGTCTTTTTCTCTCTAGCCTTCCCAAGGCTCTGGGCTTTGATATTTTTTCCAGACATATCTTTACCTCATCTTAACCCAATACTTCCAACTTCCTTATGTCTTGCCTCCACATCTGCTGAGCATATTTTTCTTGGACACAATTTTCTTCTTCCCTCTGGTTCACCCCCATACAACCTTTTCACGGTGAAATTTCACTTTCTTCTTTTATTTCTGTCACTATGTTGGAAGATCTTTACACACTTTCCAACTCATTACATGTAATTTTTGGATTTTCTTGTCTTTGAAGTTGTCTTTCGCCAAACCTCTCCTGGTCCCTCACATCTTCCAAATTCCCTGTCATTGTATTGTCTCTCTCATCCAATTCCACCGCTCCTATCTCTTCCTAACATTTTCCACCCATAAACTCCTAGTCTTCGCCTTCTTTCATTTTGACTTCTTTGGGCTTTCGTGGGAGCAAAATAAGTAAAAGGGCTAATGAACTGTTGTGTCAGGTTTATATTCGACATCCCCCAAGGGTCCAGGTTATCATGATTGTATTTGGACCTATCCTAGCTCTACCGCTCTTCCTGAAGTTATATTTCCTTGGTTCCTTCCTTTAACAGGCTGTTAGCATTCATCATCCTCATTACATTATCCAGTCCATCCGATTCACAACCTCTTTTCACTCTTGCAATATCCGCTCATCTCCCTGTGACCTAATCTTTCTCTGGCATAAAACATGCACCCTTAAACGGTTTTTTCTTTTCCAAGCACCGAAATTCTGGAACTCCCAACCTCCAACTATTCACAAAGCTGCTTCTCTTACCTATTTTAAACATCTCCTGTACATGCACCTCCTATCCATTCAAATAGAGTCTATTTAACCACAGTTTAAATTTACTGAGTAATTATTATTTTCTATGTTAATTTTCAGAGTAATTTATTTTATTTTAACCCCTTTGGTTTTTTTTTATAAGTCCATTGTCATTACGTTCATCACCATGACAAAGTTTATTTTTGTATCGAATGTTATTAACTTTTAATTTATGTACTATTCTAAGGGTAAAAAATTCTCCTGTCCAAGAATAAATTATTTTTTCTTTTTCTTCTTCTTATACTGTTTATTTTAACTAAATATTTTTCTTAATATTCTCATTTCCCAAATGAGTAGCTGTCTTTAATCTCTTTCTGTGAGGCTCACACTCACATATTATTGCTGGACAAGCAACTGTCTTACATGTAAACTGCTCAAAAATGAAAAGGGGTATTTGTAATTTATTCTTATTATTTAATTAATCTATCAATTAAATTAACTGATAAATTCTTGTTAGTTGGATAACACAAAATAGAAAATACAAACCAAAAACAAACAAATGTTAATCCTCATTTTAATAACTGATTTACTTAAGAATAGTAAACATGAAGATTTCTCATTTGGTAAACAAACACCTTTTCTCCGTTTTAATCTCGTTCAACCTGAAGTTCGTCATATTATTGTGAGAATGAGTCATCGAGGTTACCGGCAAGTAGATATTTGCGGGGCAGTTGGCGTTTCTTAAGGCTTGTCTTTAGCCTGATTCCGAGAGACGAAGTGCCAATAGGAGGCTTGGCAGTGGATCTCAGCACATTACTACGCTAAGGCAGAACAAAAATATTGTCATTGCTGTGTGATGGAACCCTTTCCTTAGTGCCCTTCAATGAAGTGCAAGATGTTTTGGCAACCCGGTACGATTTGTAATCATTTGTGTGGTTGGCCTCACATCATAGCTCCTTTGAGATGACTTCCAGCAATTTCCACTAGCAACTCAGGAGAACATGGTGCAGCAAGCGCCTAGAAGAGGCACCAATTGGAATACTGTTATGTTTACTGATGTCACATTTCTGTCTGTATAGTGATAGCAGTGCTGAAGAGTCTACCAAGAACAGTGGATGAGTACAATTCCCCCATTTGTGCTTTCTTCAGTGCAGTTTGGAGGAGGCGGTATAAAATGGTCTGGTTTGGGATTTACACTGGAGGATAAGCTGGACTCCATATTGTTGAAGGCAACCATGGTCCGTTATGACCAAGAAATTGTCAAGGAATACATCCCTCAAACCAGGGATCTCATTGGCAGGGAGTTTCAATCACCATTCGCAGCCAGTTGACCACAACAACAGAGTTGCAACATCTATGGAGTGAAATTCCTTATGAAATCAGAGACAACCTTATTAACAATATGCCTAACAGGTGCACAGAGGTTATAGATAACAGAGGACATTATACGCGGTATTAATTGTTTAAAAAAATTATTGTGACCAATAAACAAAATTATGGAATTAAAACCTTTTATTTTGTTATTTTTCAAAATGCCTTAATTAAATTTCTCTTCAGTAAAGAACATAATTTCCCCATTGATCACAAAGGTTATCAAAGGAACTTAATAAAAAAATGTCGGAAAAATTTTGTTCCTCACTGAGAATCTTTTTAGATCATTTCTATCAAAAATAGAGAGTGTATTTGTTTGTTTGTGAATTTTTAAATTACAATAGGAGTCTGTTGTTAAACAAGTTATAAACGTATATATAAACATAAACAGAAAACTAAAGTTCTGCTTATTAAATTCCTAATAATTCCTTAACTCTCTCTGTAACACTATTTTTTCACTTTCCTTAGATTTAATCTGCTTTAAATTGCCTACCATTCCTGCATTAGATACTGTTATGATCTTAAACCAATGTCATTCTATTAAAGTCCTCAGAAGCCTTAACATTTTAAACACTTATAAACTTAGAGTTTTAATATAACTATTCAAAATTGAATCAAATAAATGCCCTCAATATCTATCACTATTTCCCCTCATCCTTCAGAGTCAAGACTATGGAATTTGCTTCCCCAGGAGGACTTCTGCTTCCCCGTTGGCTAGTTTCAAGTCCATGGCATCTGAGTTTTTAAATGTGGCACGAATCATCTGCTTTTCTTCCCTCTTCTTTTTCTTTTTCCTGTTTACTTTTTTTTATTTCTGCTTATCTTCCATAATGTGGTTTCATTGTTCGATTATAAATAACTAATATTTTCAAGAATATATTATTATCATTATTGTTTTGTATATTTTATTATTATTGCTGTTATTATTATTTTTCTATGTTTATAAAACTTAATTTATTTCTTATATAAAGATATATAAGGGGCTTAAAGTACTATTTGTATCTTTAAAATAAATAAATAAATAATGATCCATTCTTTTAGTCACAAAAGGGACACAATAAGCAATGACAAACCAACAGAAATGGGGAAGGTTTTTTACTGTACTTTTCCAGTTTTTGAGATGATAGAAATTTGTCATGAGAAAATAGATCAATGAACAGGTGAAAATTACTTGCTGGCATGTTTATTGTACGTTGAGTATCTAGAAATTACTGATGAATTGAAAGGAGTCCCACCAGCCTCAGGACAAATGCTGTCAACAGGGCTTGAATGGAAAGTACACAATGAACCAGTTATTTTTATGACATTAAAATTAGCAGAGGCACATTAGCATTATTTGAACAATAATTATTACACCACATAAATTCACACATTTTTAAACTTTCTATTACCAAAAATATGTATTCTTTAAGCCATTTGGCTATAGTACATTTTATCCATATCTTTTAAACATGTCTTGGCATTCTTTTTTGTGGTTATTTCTTTTGTTTTATCCATTTTCTTTTGATCTTATTTATCATTGTATTGTATGACATATTATCAATTTCTAATATATTTTAATCAAGATTCGAGATTTCTTGAGACTTTTATATAGAACACACCATTTTTATGAGAGACTGATGATTTTAAGTCTCGACCAGTTAACAGTTCTGAGTTAATGCCAATGAAATTATGAGATGTAATCAGACAAGGATCAGCATGTTTCCTATAACTACACTTGGAATTGTGGAGGGTCTCTTCTTTTGATTTGTTGCAAAAGCGCAATTTTTGTGTTTAATATTGAAATATTAAAACTGTTTGTAGAAAACCAGGTGAAAATTCAAATATAGCTGTTGATGGGTCAATAAAAGACGGGTGTTTTTTCTACAAATGACAAGATAGACCATATGTTCAGAAACTTCAAACGTAAAACTTTATTTAGGGAATGATATAGATAGATATTCATTTGTAGTCATACATTATATGCAATGTCGTTATAATTTTCATTTTTATACAAACTACAATATTGTTATAATATTTTCAAATTCATATAAATATTTTGTACATTGAATTTCTTATTTAAACTTTTTTTCTAAACACATTCAAGAAACTGGGAAGAAGATTATACAATTTTAATTCAGAAATTTCAGGGCTATTTACAGGTTTTTTTTTAAAGACGGCATATGATTTTGATATGCCACAGGTTTTCACATATTGAGTTGTCCGGAAATTAATGCAGGTTTATGGTTATAAAATAAAAAACAATTAAATGATTTTAAATATTTTTTATTAA